GACATCCTTGTTTTGTGCCTGATTTTAAAGTAAAGGCCTTCAATTTTTGGTCATTTAGTATGATACTGACTGTTGGTTTGTTATAGATGGCTTTTATTTTATTGAGGTAAAAACCATCTATTCCAATTTTCTGTAAATTTGTTATCACGAATGAATGTTGAACGTTGTCAAAAGCTTTTTCTGCATCTGTAGAAATGATCATGTGATTCTTACTTTTGGCTTTATTGATATGGTGGATTACATTTATTGATTTACATATGCTGAACCATCCCTGCATGCTTGGGATGAATCCCACTTGGTCATGGTGTATAATCTTCTTGATGATTTGCTGCATCCTATTTGACAATATTTTAGTGAGGATTTTTGCATCTGTGTTTATTAGGCAGATTGGTCTATAGTTCTCTTTTTAGTTGGATCTTTTTCAGGTTTTTGTACTAGAGTAATATTTGCTTCCAGGATTGATTTAGGAAGGATTGCTTCCCTTTCAATTTCATTGAAGAGTTTGAGGCTTGTAGGCAGTAGATTTTCTTTGTATTTCTTGTAGAATTCAATTAATTGCTATAAATGTTTTTATTTGATCTGATTTAGACTCACAATCCATACTTTGATATGCTGTATTTTCATTATGATTACTTAAAAGTTTCTGGCCATTCCAGTAGATCATCTTTGATCCATGTACGTTTCAGAAGTATATTGTTTAGCTTTAAAAATTTTGGAGATTTTCTGTTTTATTTATTTATTTAAATTTTTATTTATTTATTTTTTTTTTTTTTGAGACAGGGTCCCGCTATGCAATTCAGGCTAGCCTTGAGCTGACTTTGTAGCCCAGGCTGGTCTCGAACTCACAATGATCCTCTCACCTTAGCCTCCCAAGTGCTGGGTAAAGGCGTGAACCACCACAACCTCAGGCTTCTGTTTTATATTATTGATTTCTAAATGAATTCTGTTATAAGCTTTCAGAAGTTTGGAACTTATTGATGGTTCTTTTATGAGCCATAAATTTTGCAGATTTTTTGTAATTACTGAATATTATGTCCTGTAAATGTCAAACTAAATGGCTTATTTTAATATATCCAGGTATTAAGGTGGAGATTTGCCTGCTGCCTGTCAACTTTTGCTTCACCTATGCTGAAACTCTGTTATCATCTCATGAACTTCTTATTGCTATGTTGCTGGTCAATTGAGTTTCATTGTAAAAGTAAACATTCTTTATCACTCATAAAGTTCTAATATTCACATCTACTTCCACCAAGTATTTTTCTATTTTCCTTGTTTATTCCTTCATTCTATTTTTCTGTTTGTTTTGCAGCATTTATTAAATTGTTTATAATATTAGATTTTAATTTAATGATGTAAGAACTATCTTTTTAGTATTTTTCTGTTGCTTCCTTAAGGATTAATACTTTCATCTTTAACTTATCAAAGTCTGTTTAAAGTTAATATGTCACCACTTCATAATATGCAGGAAATGTGCAAGAAAACAATTTCATTTAACTCCAACTTTGGTGTATTTTGTGTGTGTGTGTGTGTGTGTGTGTGTGTGTATATATATATATATATATATATATATATCTGCTTAATTCTATCTTCTCTGTACATAAAACTTCATTTATATGCTTGATATTACCACATACTTGAGATAATATTGGTTTTTGATATTGTTCCCAATGCTTTTCATACTAGATATTTTTATAGATGTCTTCTAGCTTACTGAAAGTTCTTCCTGCTATTAAAATCCAAACAGCAAATTTCATCAGACCTAAATTCAAGTTGAAGAATTTCCATTTTCCTTTATTTAAAAAGTTTCATTTCCATGCTGAGATTCTATACTGTTCATTCTTTTGACCACACAAACAAAATAAGTCTATTTTCTCTAAGTTCTTGATCTATTTTTAATGGTTAACTGAATGTTGTTTTATGCTAATTGCAATATTGGTCATTTTGAGTCTTATGTTTCTCTTGAGTGGAATTGTTTTCTAATATGTGTTTTATTTTCTTATACTTTATGTATCTTGTGATTTTTTTTTTGCCAGGCATTTTATATAGTATATTGATGACATTCAGATTTGTTATGTTCTGAAGATCAATGGTTTTTGCTGTAAGGGGCTCACCTTGGTGTGGATTACATTTATTGATTTACATATGCTGAATGATTAGACTTACAGTTTTCAGGATATTTAGTTGCAGTTTTGTCCTTACACTTGGAGCAAGTTACTAATCTGAAAACAAAAGGTTTTTGTTCACCCAGAAATTTGAACTAAATCTCAGGGATTTAGGAAGATCCTAGAACGTGTTAAGATTCAAATTCTAACCTTGCTGGGGTTCAGACTCTGAAATGAGTGGCAGTGAAAATACTGGCTCAGATTTCTCAGTCCTCCTGTCTATTTTTGCATTCTTTCAGGCTCCTTGATATTTATTCTTGCTTCTCACATTGAGCAAAAACAAATATTGAAGGGAAGTTTAAATTCAGATATGGCGTCTTACTGTTCTGCTGCTATTTAGTTTGAGATTTCCTCCTCATTTTGAGCTGTTTTGATCACCCCAGTTCTCATCTGAAACCCTGTGCCAGGAAGATCACTGCCTTCTGCTGCTTCTAAACACCCTGCACTTTTGGCATTAAGATGGTTCCTGGGAAGTGGGACTCTGCATGCTAAAATCATGAAAATCCCAGGAAAACAGAGAATAACTGGTCACCCTTATAGTACTTTGAAAGGGAAAAGCCACATAATCTTAGATCTCATCGAATTCCATTTCTTTTTCAACCTCAACATTTTATATTTTCTAGAAAATTTTCAGGCTTTCTAGTAATTCATATATTTGATGTGTCTAATTTTTCAAAGTTATAGTTATTATCTGCATGGTAGATATCATTGTTGATGTTCTAAGAACTTGAACCTAAGTAATTAAAAGGAAAATGTACACTAATTCCCCAATAATGAGAAATGTTGTGCATCATCCAACTTTTATACTTATAACTTGCTTTTAAGCATAGGGATCAAACAGTAATATTACTAACAACATATTAAATTTCAAGTTAAAAATAAAATTAAAACTACATTTAAAAAGAATTGATTTGTAAAACTGCTCTATAATATAATAACAGTGCCTCATTTAGTGAAGGATGTGTTGGTGGTAGTTTTCTTGTTTCCATGTTCCAATAGTTTTCAAATGTTAATATAATTTTACACACATATATGTACACATGTACTATTTTCAATGAAAATATAAGCATCATACATGTAAAATAATGATTACTTATATATGCTATATACAACTTTTCAAAATGGATAAGAATAACTAAAAGTTGATTATCAAATACTGTGAATAGATTTCTTATAAAAACCAGGAAATTTAGCATACCAAGGTTTAGAAGACAAATTTTTAAAGGTTATTTTATAGACTATTCATTGAGTAAGAAAGATCCACAAAGGCTTGCTGAAGGATCCTGAAGATTACGATTAAAATTATGTCCAGATGTGATTAAAAAGTTTAATTTCCTTTACAGATTCTTTTAATACATTGGAAGATATATCCTGTTGCTAAAATCAGTTCGTCAGCCCCTTTTCTTTCCTTTATCTTACTTGTTTGATTTTTGTAGTCATCTGATTATATGACAACATGGGCAATAGGCCTTAGTCTATAAAAATAATTAGCTATTGTTGCTAAAAATAAATATAGTTATAACAACATAGACTCTTAAAAATTCAAATAGGACTAAAATGAGGGGTAAATGTTCCTCTCATTGCAACACAAAGCAGGAGAATTTCAAAGAAAAGGGATTTACATATGCTCTGCCTTTAGTCCAGTCACCCACAAGGAAATCAACTGACTGCATATGAATGTTGTTTTTTATTGAATTTTGCCCAGATTTCATAAGATAATTTTGCTTAAGGCAGAGATCTAAATGCATACAGATTTCCAGGTGTGTTTGTCAGGCCTCTTTTGCTTAATTGTCAGAATGCATCTCTTCAGCCTCAGTCTTAAGATGCAGATGCCAGTAATGGTCTCTGCTTTTCTGGGATATATTTCATATAGTTTGCAGTGGAAGGTGGATTATCTTGTATCTCTCTCCTAACTTATGGGCTTCAGAGTGCAGTGTCATTCCTCTGGCAGAACAGGTACTGGTTTAGAGATGATTCCCTGACATTTTCCAATAAGGGGTCTGCTTCATTCTCTTCATTTGTATCTCTTCATAAACATCTTGGTGGTGGTATGTTGAGTCACTGTTGACTCATGCAACCCTCCTCTACTCTCTTTCCCTTGAAGAGTGAATTGAATTTCCTCTGCAGCTCATGAAATAGGTTGACAGAATAGGTTTCTGCTTGGTATCAGTATCCATGGTAACTTTCTAACCAAGAAGGAAGCATACTAACTACACCCCCCTACCCCAGGGATGTTCAGGACAGTTACCAAAGGCCAATAAAAGTGAACCTTCTCACAAGAATCAGAAATCCTTCTGTAATGTCGAATGCCCTCCTGGCCATCTTCTTTTGCCCTGGCTTCATTCAAAAATCACCCCTGTGCTGTGGTCTATAGTCTTTACACACACACAAAGATTCCCAAGCAATAGGTGCTTCAAACTTCAAGAAGTTTGTATGTTTTACATTTTTACTGGGGATAGGGAACAGACAGGTCGTATAGAATCATGCTGATCACAGAATTTCCCTGTGCCTTTTAATTTATCAGTTTGTATTTCCTTTCATTCAAACTAAACTCGCCAAATACCTCTTCCCGCAGGATGGGCTGGAGAGACAGCCGCTCCTCCCCCACTGCTGCTCCCCCACCCCCAACAATGCAATCACGGATTTCTAAAACTGCACGATTTAAGAATAATTATCCTTGGCAGAACTGACAAAATAAATCCTCTGGCATTAGTGGTACAGTTTCTAGGCTTGTTAAAGTATTTGTTTGCTCCAGGAACACCAGTTCTAGGCTGTGTGTGCAGAGAAGGGTTAAAAAGCGCAAGCAAGACACCACGCATGTGTTAATTCCTGCAGCAGCAGCGCGCATCTCTTCCACTTTGACCTCACAGTTAATTTGCTGCGTGATAATCACGCAAAGCCTTTAGTGAGTTTTTTTCTCTTTTTTAAACACACACACACACACACACACACACACACACACACACACACACAGTTTTAAAAGAAAGAAAGAAAGAAAGAAAGAAAGAAAGAAAGAAAGAAAGAAAGAAAGAGCTAAAACATAAACCTAAAACAATGGACCTGGGGGAGTTCGCGTGAGTGTGAGCATCGTGATTATGCGCGCTTTTCTTTCTCTCCCTTTTTTATTTGTCTCAGTGTGAGTCTCTCCCTGTACCCTCCCCCTGGCTCAATTATATTATTCCCCTACATTTGGAAGCCAGCTTCAGGAGCTGACGCTTTGATGTTATCTGCAAGCGTTTGTGCAGATCTTATTTCTGCCCCCTGAATATTAATTCCTGAAGCTGGTGGCGATAACCTCTTCAGTGCTGGTCCCTGCGAGAGGCAGGTGGGGGGAGCCACCCTCAAATCATAAGCATAATAATAATACAAAGGGGAGGGATTCTTCTGCGAGCAGGAGACAAGAAGCAAGAGGGAGAAAAAAAGCGATGAGTTCGCCAAATATATGGAGCACAGGCAGCTCAGTCTACTGGACTCCTGTATTTTCACAGAAAATGACCGTGTGGATTCTGCTCCTGCTGTCTCTCTACCCAGGGTAAGATGTGCTATTTTCACGTCGTTTTGTTGTGGAGAGGTGGGGGAAGGGGTAGAGATGTGGAATTGTGGAGACCACCCAGATTTAAAACGTTCTCCTGGGATTTTTGGTTTGTAATTTAGGGAAGACTGAATACATGGGACGGGAATGGGAGGTATGAAAAAAGAAGGTCACGTTTGTTTAAATATTCATGTATTGGAATTTATTATTTGTTTTGTTTTGGAGTGGAAAAGCAAACCTCATGAAAGACTTTGCGTTTGAGAATATCATTTTCGTATTACTGCAGTCAGATGTGGAGTTGGGCTATGTTGATACCCGCTTGAATTTGAGGCCATGTTGAAGGCTTTTGGGTGGGGGTCTGGGGGAGAACATTGCAAATCGGGTCTTAGCGCCTTCGGGGAGATATGTATGAGGGAGAATTTGGGGATGGGGGCAGCTCTGTTTCTGTACAATAAAGTATGCCTTGCTCTCGCATCTGGACATTTGCTCAGCCAGGTTTTCTATCCAGCCTCTTTGACCCAGCAGCCCGATAGCCAAACATGGTTCAGCACCAAGGACAGCGCATTTGATTGTGGCCCAAGGAAAGGGACTTGTGGGGCTGACTAGACCTCTCTAAATCTAGACAGGACATGCTTCCACTCCAAATGAAGGCCCGTGGAGCCAAGGAGACCTTACAGTGATCATTGCTACCTCCTGCCTGGGGAGCAAAGGGGTCGTTGGGCATGGCTTGGGGAATATATACATGTAAAAAAGTGTTGGCCTTCCTACACTGTTGAAAATCATGCTGAATTAAGTAAATGTAATGCCAAAATTCTAAAGTGTGCCTTAATGCTGTGGCCTTGCTACACTAAGTAGGGAAGTGGTGTAGGGGTGGCCTCTGTAACTCCTAAGCATGTGTGTACTCTGAAATGCTCTACATCTAAAGGTTCTCTGAGTTCCTTTAAGAGTGTCAGTGGAGAATCCCTGTACACAGTACGCTACAATATTCTTCTACCCATGTACATAGCACACACCTCATTATTACTTCAAGTAAGTTAGAAGATATTACTGGAACTTCTAGTCAATATAGATGGTTCCTCCTCTTCTAGGATATGTGGCTTTCTGACTAAGAAATTAAGTCAACATAAGGAGTCAAATACTAACTTTGTAGTTTTGAAGCAAAGATAAGGATTGTTTAAATTTTCCAGAACTTTTCATATCTTACTCCTCTACTACAAAAATAAAACCTAATCTCATTAAAAGTATCAGATTAAGAAGTTTTCTCAGAAGAAGTGGGCCTTTTTCTGAAGAGGTTTTGTATGTATTTTAGTTAAATCCTGGAAAAATAATTTTTCACTTCAAAAATAACCCCACAAATATGTTTAAATTAAACGTATAAAGTTTTTAATCTTCATCTGTTTCAGAAGAGTAGAGAATTTATTATTGCTTACTGATAGAAAATGTCTTTGTTGTATTATCATGAATTATGAAACCTGTGGATTAAATCTAGACAAGATATGGAGAGGATATCTTTCATGAGTATATTAGTAAACAATTTTATGACTAATTGGATGAACATATTCTTATGCATTTTATCTCCCACCATCCTATTTTAGTCAAACATGCTTACTTTTTATTGTTCATAATATTATAGTACTGAAAGGGCATCCTTATCATAAGTTTGATCTTTTTATTACAATAATATATAAAAATCAAAACTTGAAGATATAGTTTACTTTTCTATTTGTGTATGAGCATGTAAAGTAGCTTTAAGTAATGGAAATCGCACCTCATAAAAACTCCCAATAGTTTTGTTTTTTTTGGTTTTTTTTTTTTTTTTTTTTTTTTTTTTTTTCTGAATAGCTATACAAATGGAATCACTGCAGATTGGTGCAGGGATGTGATCAGAGTTTCAGTTTGCTGCAATCTCATAAAAAAGCCATTTGAGTTTCTGAATAGGGACAGAGGAAAATAGAATCTTTGATTTCTGAAGCTGAATCTGAGTAAAAACAACATGTCAGTGGAAAAACTTGAGGATCCTAAAAACGTTTTTGGTAACTAATTAGTAATAGTAAGATAATATAGAAGTTAATAAAACATTTTTTAAGTTGACTTTTTGAATTTAAGAGATTTCCAAGAATAAATTCTTTCTCTTCTGAGATGGGTTATAGCATATGTGGATTTATATGCTAAATATAAAAAAATATATTTAGCATAAATTATATACTAAATTCATTAGGTTGTATTGGTATAAATTTAAAACAAGGAGGAAAATAAAGCACTAGATTAAGCATATTAGCAACTATTTCTTCTTTGAGGTGAATGAGTTTCATAAACTTGAAATTTTCTAAACTGTCACATATTTTATCTGTGGTACTATCATAACAATCACCTGAAAACTTATTGATTTGACAAGATTCCTAAATCATACATTATAGGACTCTAAATCACTATGGGTGCAGTAAAATACAGAAATACTCACTTTTAACAAGTTCAGTAGGCCTCACTCTGAAGTTTATTTATTTATTTATTTATTTATTTTGTTCCAGGGATCAAACTCATGACCTCATACTCTCCAGGCAAGCACCCAAGCCACTGAGCTAAATCCCTGGCCTTGAAGAAATGTTTCTTTCCTTTGCTAATTTCCAAAAATTTTTTCTTCACTCTACCTAATATTTACGAGCATTTTGGTTTCTGCTACTTTATCATTCAACTGTACAAAATGAATCAATTGTACACCCAGAATATATATATAATTGAGTGTAACATTCAACCCACAAGGATAAGGAATAGTCTAAAGAATCTTAATAAATTCAAATCATATATGAAGCACCAAATGTACTTACATGAATACAATGTCAGTGTATTTAAAAACTGTATAAATTCTACATACCTATAGGGACACATGTAGGTTTTGAGACAAATTTTGTAAAATACATATTTCAATTTAACTTCTTAGACTAAAAAATACTAATTAGAAGACACATTAAAATTCAGAAGAACATTGCTTATAATAAGGAGTAAGTGCTAAAAATCCCAGTTTTGTTTTCCTTAGGATAAAGAGAATATCTCATAACACATAATATCTAAGAGTTCCTCTACAAGGGCTAGATTGAACAAAAGCATATTGAAGTTAGATAATCAGCTTAATTCTTTCTCTAAAAGAGATGAATTAAAGATTCATAAATATTTCCTGTTCCTGATTGCTGCTAAATGGGAATGTTTTAAGTTGATTTTTAAAGAGGTGTTAAAGTAATCTTTTATCCCATAATTACATTTTATACAGATTTTTTTAACTTTGGCAGGTGATGACTATGATCTTACAGGAAATTCTGTAATGCTTTTCAATATAACCCTATTACAGCAACCTTGTTACTCCTTACATTTACAAATACTTCACATAGTTATTTCCACACACACACACACACACACACACACACACACACACACACAAAATCTTCCACAACATATTTCATTGCCTTACTTTTACACACAGTTTTCCAAATAGTCTATTTAGGGCCAGAATTTTCTAGAAATCAATTGAGCCAGAAATTTCTAGAAATCAATTGCTCATTGGCATCTAGGCAAAACACTTAGATAATAAGAAAGAAAAACTAAAATTGGCTTTTCATTTAAAATATTTGTTAAAAAACGTTTTCTTTGATATTTTAGGCTCATTTTACAATGGGCCATCTCAAAATTATAAAATCATGAAATACTGAATTTATTGACAGAAGTCGTTGTACATGCTTTAAATTTTGTTTTATGTTATCCAAATTGGAATGAGATTAAAGACTGATTTCAGTGACTTTATCACTCTTGCAAATATTATTTTAGTCGGGACTTGTAAGTGTGTTACAAGTTCCTAACCTGTAGAAAACAGTCTTTTCTGTGCTTAGTGTAAATGTTGTGTAGATAAATTACTCAAACCCCTCCACTTATAAAAAAGAGTACTAATTAGCTGCAATTGATTAGTTGAAGAATTGTCAAAAGAGAATGTAATTAGTATGAACTAAAATATAATCAGCTATTATGTATATACAAATTGTACATTATTCTTATCATTATGTATGCATACCTATATCTATTTACAGAAACACTTATTAATAATATGTAACTTTTAATTAGCTGTTGCCTTTAAGCAGATCATTTAATATCCATTCTTATTCTTGATTTTCTTGTTTATCAAGTGCAGTTTATAATAACTAATGCACAGTGATTGTGAAGATTAAATGTAGGTATATTCTGTACGAATATTTTATATATGTAAATATAATTTGGTATCTGTAGATATATGACAAAAGTTTATTTGAAAATATAACTATATTTTTCCTGATTTTGAGATGTCATGTAGATCCTTTATAATGCCGTTTGTTTTCCTGGAGTTGAGGATCTAATCCAGGGCCTTGGGCATACTAAGCAGGTGTTTTATTGTTAAGCGCAGTATCAGACAGATGCATTCTTGTCTTCATGTCTACTTGAATAAAACACCATATTTGGTGTGTTCCCCTGAATTGAAGTACTGAAACTCTGACTCTCTCAGCACTAACATTATACAGATACCAATAGTGGTCAAACCTTCAGACATCTTTAATTATAATTTTTAATCAGTTTCTTTTGATCAGTCAATCTGGCAAAAGTAATTTGGAGAAAACAAATACCTGTCACTCTAGTAAAGCCTACTATAGGAATATTGGTTTGGTATTGATAATACTTTGCTTCTATTTTCTGATGGGAGAATTTAGAAATATACTAAAGATCCAGCTGGTCCAGTAAATGAAATGTTTTGTGTTATCCCATCTAATTTATCATGGGAATGCTTTGAGATACTCACTTTCATTGATTTAACATTGTTAAATTATATCTTATTGCATTGTTGAAAACTCTACACAGAAATCCTTAGAAATAGTTTTCTACTACGTAGCTCTACAATCTCAGAAGCATATTAAATGAAACTATTAGATCAAAGCAACTATAGTTAGAAAATATATTTTCTTAATGACTATGTCTGTGTAGGTAAA